TAGGAGAGATGTTCTCCATCGTTTGGCAACAATGACTATGAAATCAGTGACAATGAGAGTGTCACATCAACGGGGCCCGGAAACACCGTATATGGTGTGACCGTGGTGTGGGTGCAAATGTGTGGCTTGTTTCACTTACTGTGGTGACACCAGCTGAGCCCACACGACCCCCCTCCCGCACCCCGGGCCTTGGCTCTTTGTCTTCTCTCCACGTGGATGGTTGTTCCTCTCAGGAAACACCTTGTCCTTACCTTGTTCAGGTCTCTGCTCAAGAGTCACCCTTCCTGCCTGCTCTGACAACAAGAGCCCCTCGCGCGCGCTCTCTCTCTCTCTCTCTCTCTCTCTCTCTCTCTCTCTCTCTCTCGGGTCCCCACCCTGCTTACAACAGACGACCACGCCCCAGAGTCTGAAATCGAGGTGTGGGCAGGGCCGTGCTCCCTCTGAAGGAAGGGTGAGCCCTTCCTTACCTGTTCCAGCCTCTGGTGGCCCCAGATGTTCTTTGGCTCGTGGCTGCCTCCCTCCCAGCTCTGCCCTGTCTCCATGCCCCCCACCCCGCTGTGCCTGTCTGTCTGTCTCTCTTCTGCCTTTCTTCTTTTAAAGATTTTTAAAGAATTATTTTTAAGTAACCTCTCTACCCAACATGTGGCTCAAACTTACAACCCCGAGATCAAGAGTTGCACGTTCCATGGATAGAGTCAGCCAGGCGCCCCTCTTCTCTTCTGTCTCTTATAAGGAAGAACACCAATCACTGGACTCAGCCCCCTCTCCCCGCTAGTAAATCTTGAGATCCTTAACCTAAATCTTGAGATGCCTTCAAATTTGTTTTCCCAGAGAAGGTTACATGCCCAGTGTCTGGGGGCTGGGGTGTGACATATGCTTGTGGGCAGCCAGTACTCAACCCACTGCGTTCACGGCCTCACACAGCATCACACGTTGAACTATCTGCAGCCTATCACACCTGCCAGGAGAGAAGATACCAACGTACAAGAAGAGATTCTTCTGTGTTAGAGGGTGCGGTGCCACACGGCACGTGCTTACAGCTATTTGCTGAATGAATGAATGAAGGAATGAATGAAAGTGGCTTTCCCTCCCTAAGTTCCAATTTCCTCATCTATAAAAAGATTATCTTTTCTTTAATGCTTTTTTTTTTTTTTGAGAGACAGACAGAGTGTGAATGGGGGAGGGTCAGAGAGAGAGAGGGAGACACAGAATCGGAAGCAGCTCCAGACTCTGATCTGTCAGCACAGAGCCCGACGTGGGGCTCAAACTCATGAACTATGAGATCAAGACCTGAGCCAGAACCGGACGCACAACCGACTGAGCCACCCAGACGCCCCTAAAATGATTATCTTATTGTCTCTGTGCCTGGCCATTAAACAAACACACAGAATTGAGGGTTTATGTAAAGAGCCTTAACTTCAAACTAATTCATAAGATTAAGTGCGTGCCCACACACAGCCCCCTTGTATGGCATATTCCTTCAGAAAAGCATGCCTTCAAAATACCAACCTTATCATTTGTGAGTGAGGTTTATTACCAAAGAAGTTTCAGGTGCCTTGAAATAGTACCACATCTTCCCAACAAGGCATATTGTTGGGAGATAATTTATGGGAAATGAAATAACACCGCTTTCATAAAGTGAATGGGAGTTGAAGAGCATGACCTCATTGTTCAAGGTGCCCAGAGCAGATATTTCAGGAAAGGCAGGATGCTTTTGGCTGAGTCCCGCCCTTGACTCTCAACACCAGCCCAGGCATGGGCATCCGTGTCAGAGCTGCAGACTCAGGGTTTCCCAGTGACCCGTCTTGCCTGACTTGATCCCTTCGGGGTGGATTCTGGAATTTGGCCAGCTGAAGGCAGAAGGAAAATTCTTGAAGGAAACAATCTTGGAATCAGTAGTGATAATGGTGGAATCCAAACAAAGTGGCCGAGGTAATAAAAGATATTCAAAAACAAATATAAATAGCAGGTGTGATCCTGGGGGAAAGTGGAGAACACACGACAGTGAAAAGACCAAAAAATAAATAAATAAGGTTTATATAATCAGATTAAATCACTAAGATTATGGAAAAACAAAGGTTTGAAAGAGAAACATGAAGATTAAAAACTCTATTATATTGTAAAAAGAAATCAAAAGAGATGGTATTATTATTTGTCTCTATGTCTGAAGGCATTTCAGATAGTTCCTGATAGAATTTTCAGTTTATTCTGAGATCAGCATAAAAGATGACCGCAAATAGCAGAGTGCTTTCCTCAAAAGGCAGGGAAATAAAACATGAATGAGGATGATGGAAATCAGTCTAATGGTAACTACAGCAATATAGACATGACACATTTCCCCAGGATACAGCAAGTCGCCCCAGATTAAGAATAAATTTGAGGGGCATCTGGGTGGCTGTCAGTTAAAGGGTCTCTGACTCTTGATTTTGGCTCAGGTCGTGATCTCACAGATTGTGATCTCACAGATCGTGAGTTGAGCCCCACATTGGGCTCTGCACTGAGTGTGGAGTCTACTTGGGATTCTCTCCCTTGCTTTCTGCCTCTCTCTGACTCACACTCTCTCTCAAAGTAAATAAACATTTAAAAAAGAACAAATTTTAATGAGCTGCTGTTGATGAGAGAGATACACCGAATAAATATTTGGGAGTATTTACCATGTTTCAGGAACATTATTTACCATGGCAAACAGAGCAGGTGCACGATGATGAGGATATAATAGTCCCCTGCTCTCACAGACCTTATATTCGGAGGGGAAATGAAACAAGACAGCTAAAAATAAGGTACCAAGTTTAGATCACACAGGCTTACACCTTGAAGAAGAAACAGTGGCAATAGTAACTCTACAAAGCGTAGTTTAAGGAGTAGGTTTTAATGAGATACAGGAGGCATTAAACAATTACAAGAAGTCATCATGAACAGGTAACTTATATGCACTAATCAACAGGGAAGTATAATACAAAAAGCAGAAATTCAGACAGACAAGGAAACAAATGGACAGGAAAGCAAGTAGACTGGAAATTTCAAACTCTTCATGATCTTCCTATGTCAGATCAATGAGTCAAAAGTAAGAACATGAATAATGTCACTAAAAAATTAGAATGAATAGATACTGAACTGATAGGCAAAGAAGAGTGCAGCTCCCCAATACCCTTTCAAAGAATACACCAACTTTTCAGGTGCCACTGAAATATTTACAAAAAAATTCCATACAACCCAGGCACCAAGTCCCAACAAATTGAGAGAATTATCAGACATGTGTGCAGGCTGATCACAATACAACTCAAACAAAAATTAAAGCCTAAGGGTATCCGTTCAGCTGCTTCCAGTCACATGGCTTTAACTGCTTTCTCTGCGGTCCACTTCATTTTTGTTTTCATCCCGGTAAGGTCCCGGTGTTCCACAATACCCTCCAGCCAGAGTTTCCTTCCTGAATGCTCTGGGTGTTACAAACTGGATCCAGAAATTCTAGCTTTGGCATCTCTGAACAGAGGCCACTGTGGTGGCAACCAAGAGGCTGAGCTTAAAGGGAAAGGCATCTGGTCAACACCTCACTCCCTGCTCACGGAGGCTGCCCCGCCTGGAGAAATCACGGCTGATTGAGGCTGATTGACACCCTCGGGAGAGCGTGAAATTCTACGCCAACAAGCCATTCTTCCTCCCTGGATCCAACACTATCTGAAAATCTCAGAATGCCAGTTAGAAAGGACCTCAGAAATAATGAAGCTGAGTTCCCATGTTTCTCTTTTATATTAATCATAAAATTTCCTGAGGACCTACTATGTCAGGGACTAGGTAGTATTGTTAGGCACTCTACAAACGCAAACAGTAGCTCGGATCTGTACAATAGGTGTGTGAGGCTGGTTCCCAGTAAGTATCTCCTCTTTGCTCCCCCAGATCCACTTTCCACCCTCCTGCCTTCCCCTTTGGCTTCCCAGCCCGGGGGTCTGCATCTGTGGCTCCCGTTCTCTTTCTCTCTACGGAAGTTCTCAGCTCCACACAGCTACTTTCTCCAGGTCATCGCTCCTTTGTCTTGCCTTCCAGAGCTTGCATGGTAGCAGTTTCTTGCTGTTGCTAACCTTGGGCAACCGCACGATCCCTTCAGGCTTCTCTCCACCCTGCTCACACCTTTGTAGAGAGTCTGTTTATCAAACTCTCTCCAAATGACTCAGTTTGAATGTGCCACCCGTCTCCTGCTGGGACCCTGACTCACAGGTCGGTAGCGCCATCCCCATGTTGCTGATGAGTAAACTGAGGTGGAGAGAGGTGAAGTTGCCCAAGGCCATGCATTTGGAAGGAACAATTCTGAGAATCAAATCGGACTCACACACCAGAATTTTGCTTTTTCTAGAATTCCTAGGCCTTTGTTGAAATTGGAGGAGCCACCAGCGTGATGCTGGTAATGTCTTTTATTTCAGTCATGAGAAAAGAGGCAGGAAAAACAAAAGGGCCACCAGAGCGGCCCATCAGGTTGACTGGGGCTGAGGTAGACACCCTTTGGGGAGCAGTTGATAGGTGGCCTATATTTGCTCAAATAGGGCAGCACAATTTAACGGGAGAACACACATATCGCACTCTCTAGTTCTTATATTTACGAAGCCCATTCTATAGACGAGGAAACTGAGGCAGAGAGGAGAGGCACAGCCTTCCCCGAAGCCACCTCCCTACTGAGTGGTGCGTCTTGTGATGGATTCCAGGCCCATGGGAAGCCAGAGCCCTTACACTTTCGCCACGTCCACTGGGAGGCGGCGAACCATCTACACTGCACATTCAGTCACGGACTCTGGTTGCCACCTGACTCCAGCAGCTTCCGTGGGACGAGGATGCTACCGCCACCACGCGCTCCCTCCATTTTTCACTGTGAAGGAAGTGCGATCCTGGCGGGCATTTTACAGACCCGTAAACTGAGGCTCTGGAAATTGAAGACGCCTGTCCGAGGTCCCAGATTAGCGAGCGCGGGAGCCCATTCTGCAGATGAGAACAGAGGGCCCAGACAGAGATCGTCAAAGGGCGCACAGAACCCGCAGGGGCCGTGCGGGGGTCCTCAGGCGCCCCTCCCCTTCCCGGCTGCGCTCCCCGCGCCCTCCCGGAGGCGAGACCTTCGCCTCCTCCTTCACTTGCGGACGGGGCGCCGCGGCTCGCAGGGGCCACGTGGCTGGTCCGGAGCCGCACGGCCGCGCAGGCGTGGGGCTCCGCTCCGGCGCCTCGGGACGGACGCGCTGCGGCCGCGGGGGAACCGCCCCCGCCAGCCCCAGAGCCGACGACCGGGGCAAGGCGAGGTCCGGGGACCCGCTCTTCCCACCTGCGTTGGCTCGCCCACCCCCGCCCCGGGCTCCCGGTGACTCTCGGGATCCGGCAAGACCGGGGCACGGCCCACGCGGCCCGGCGCCGCGGCTACACCCGCTCCGGGCTCCCGGGGCGGGGCGCGGCCAGGTGCTCCCGGGGCGGGGCGGGGCCAGGTGCTCCCGGGGCGGGGCGCGGCCAGGTGCTCCCGGGGCGGGGCGGGGCGGGGCCAGCTGCTCCAGGGGCGGCCCGGCGCGGAGCTCCGCCCCGGGGGCGGGGCCTCACCTGCGGCGGGCAGGTAGGCGGCTCCCTGGTAACCCGCGCCCGGCCCAGGAGGTTTGGGCGCGCGCAGCCAGCGCCCGCCACGCCGGGGACCCAGGGACGCGGGCAGGGACGGCCGGCGGCGGGGCCCCGCGCCGGTTCACCATGGTCGAGAGACGCTTCTCTCGGTTCCTGGAGAAACTCGCCTTCCGGGGCGCGCGCCCCCTGTACCAGCCTCTGCAGAGGAGCGAGTCGGAAACCTTGGTGAGTCTGGGCGACCGGGGCCGTCCGACCGGAGCCCCCACCCCCCCGCACCCCAGCCTCCCCCGGGTCCGCGTCCGCGGGCTGCGCTCCCCCGAGCTCTGGAACGAGGCCGTCTTCAGTTTCTGCCCTTCCGCCCCGAGCCGGGCACGCGCCATTCCCTTCCCCCCTCCGTCCCCCCAGGACAGCCCATTCTGTGGATTTGAAACTGAGGCAGAGGAGGCTTAAACGGGTCGCTTAAGAGGCTCCCAGCCAGCAAACGACGTAGCTAGGAACTTCGACGAGGTTTCTCTGACTCCGAGAATTTAAATTCCTGGGTCTCTGCATTCAGGCTGCTATATGGAATTTTTTTAAGTGGCTTGAATTGGAAAAAAAAAAAAAATTAAAGCGATGTAAAAAACAAACCGAAAACATTTGGCGAACATGTTTTAGCAATAATAGTAATAGTAATGGTGGAAATCGGGTAGAGAGGAGCCACGCTAGCCGCATCTGCAGCGCACCTGAAAAGCACTCAGATTTGTGTGTGGACTTTGCAGCGTGCACGGGGCCCTCCCTCTAGGATAAATCGGCAGGGCCATCAGGCCAACAGCGTGGGTGGGGGGAGATGGGGGGGAAGGGGGCTTACTAGCGGACGAAGTGACAGAGCTGTCCAAAAAAGCCCTTCCGCTTGGTGAAGCCAGCGAGGATGGGTGGCCCAGGGATGGGTGACCCAGGAACTTTCTCCGGACATTTGTATGAGTGTAAGCTTTGCATCCCACGTGAAAGAAGAGCAGAGAGCGCTGGTTTCTTGCAAAAGCATCCTGGGGTCGGTTCACCTTTTTTTTTTTCCCCCTTTCCGGCACCATCAGTCACTTAAAAATACAATTCCTGCAATCGTGCCCTGGGCGAGCTCTGGAGAATACATTGCAGTGACCTTCTGACTGGGGAGGGGAAGCCTCGCCGATCAATTGACTTTTTAATGGAAAAGGTCAGATAGAAAAACTTAAGCGATTGAATTTTCCTCCCAAAGAATGACGACAGTCAAAACGTTTTGGTTGTACGATTCTTCTTCTTCTTTTTTTTTTTTTTTTTTTTTTTTTTACAATTTTTTTTTTTTTTTTTTTTTTTTTTTTTTTACAAATAGTTTATTGTCAAGTTGGTTTCCATTTGGTTGTACGATTCTTAAATATTTGTGCGTTTAAAAAACAATATTTTATAAATGAGCGTAAGCAGGAGCCTTCTGGTGCTAGCGTGGCACATCACAGACCTGTGTAACTAGCAGTTCTCACGCAGTCTCGCTCTTTCTGAAGCGACCTGTGGGCTCAGCATGGATTGGACATACGGGTTTCGGTCATTTTGCTGAGACCTGTGTCTCTACCCCCACGCCATGCAGTGAGTTCCACTAAAGGAGTTAGAGGTTAGCTTGCGAACATGATTGTCTTTTCTACGTTACTTTTTCTGGTTTGTTTTGTTTTTTTCCTTTCCATGGTTTGGTTTTGGCATCAAGCTGGGTATTTTTTCAGACACTCCTGATGTGTAGTTGGTTGTGATTAGATATTATAGGCTGCCCAGGTGTGCCTGGCGGCCAGGTGAAGATGATGTAACAAATAGAGGTGCTGGGGGTGAACGTGACCTCGGCACCAAAGCGGACTTCGTTCCTCCAAATCTTTTCCGAGGGCCCCCAAGGGTGCAGCAGGTCTTCAGTCTGCCTGTAGGTGTGCGGGGGGGGGGGGGGGGGGGGGGGGGGGGGGGGGGGGGGGGGGGGGGGGGAGGGCTCACCCACCTGGTTATGGACCTGGATGTTCTCAGCAGCGCCCTGAAGGGTTGTGTAATGGAGAACATGGCAGTGGGGAGGGGCTGGGAGCCTGGCGACCCTGGCAGCCGGTGGCACAGGCTGGCTGGGAAGCGAAGTGTCCTGTCTCCGAGGCGCCCTGTGCAAACCCAGGAGATTACACTAAATGTAAACGAGGGCGTGATGAGGGAGGAGGCTGGTAGGTGAGACAACTTCTTTGCTGCCAGCTTGGCTCATAGTCTGAAACCTTCTTTGCTCTCCCGTTTCCTTCGCCCGATTTTGAACCCTTTTTTTGCCAAGAAAAACTGAAAAAGAAGCAGAGTGTACTCACAGCGATCATTTCCACACGATGGTAACTGTCTTTGAGGACCACTTGTAGGCGGCCTCTGAACCCCCCTAACTCTGAACACCACTTTGCCAGGTGGCCTCACTTATACTACTAATTATTACTAAGAGCTTGCTGTGTCTTCTTTCGGGTCTCTCTGCACTGAGGTCAGTTTTATGACTATAATCATAAGATAGATGATGGGGCGCCTGGGTGGCTCAGTGGGTTAAGCGTCTGACTCTTGGTTTCGGCTCAGGTCACCATCTCGCGGTTTCGTGGGTTCAAGCCCTGCATATGCTGACAGCGTGGAGCCTGCTTGGCCTTCTCCGTCTCCCTCTCTCTCTGCCCCTGCTCCACTTGCACTGTCTCTGTGTCTCTGAAAATAAATAAACTTAAGAAAGATAGATGAGGACATTGGAACTCACAGGTGGGGCCAGGTGCTAAGGATACAGCTGTGAACAAAGAAGTTCATGGGGGGAGCCCCACAGCTCACAGAGAAACCAAGAGATGTTTAATCGAAGATCCAGCGGTCTGAGGTAGAGCAAGAAAGCAGCGTGGCCAGGGAGGGGACAGGTGGTAGAGACGGGGGCCGGGGAGGACCCAGTTAGCGGCATCAGAGGCTAAATGTGAGCACAGTGCCCGTGGCTCGGACGATGCCGCACTCTGGTCGTATTCGCAGTTTAGTGACAAGAAAGGGGATGGGGAGACCCTCTTCCTCTAACTCCTGGAACAAAACCTGTTAACCTGAATGTCGGGTGAGGAGAATGTTGGACCAGAAATTCCTGCTTCCTGGGTGACTCGGAGCCACGCCGGGGAAGCTGTCTTTGGCCCTCAGGGCTCCCATCGCTCACCCCAGTCTGGCACTGGCTCCGGCCTGTGATGGCTTCCTGATGGGTGAACTGACTCCTCCTCCTGGGGCTCTCCAGGGGGAAGTCTGGGCCCCAGGACACCCGTGTAGCCACTCATTCATCCGGCCCAGAAGCGTGAAGCGCCTACTGTGTATCAGGCCGGTGCTGCACTCCAGGGATGGGGTAGAGAGGGTGCACACACTGCCAGCTCTCCTGGCACCCTCTCCTGGTGGGCAGGGATGGGCACCAAACTACAGTGCACAGTGGGCTGTTTAATAATGGCGGGTGTATAATACCCGGGAGTGAGAGGGATGCTTCCATTCCTCTGAGTGGCAAAGATCAGGGGGGCTGTGCTGGGAGAGGGGCAGAGGCCATGGGGGCTCTGGGCGGGGGGGGGGAGGGGCGCGAGGTGTAGGCGTTGGCGTGAGAAGGGTGGGGTTGCAGAGGTGAACCACGAAGAGCCTCTGGACCATCGTGAAGAATTTGGGCTGTGTCGCTAGCACAACAGAGAACCATTGAAGGGTTTTAAGTCAGGACGTGAGAGTCGTTCACTTATTTGCAGATGAGCCTCATTAGGAATGCAATAAAGGAGACAGACACAATCAGACTTGTGTTTGTGGGGACAGCACCCTTGGGTTGCAGGAAGACCGCGCACAGGAGGGAGTTCACACACACACACACACACACACACACACACACACACATCGTTAGTGTTTCTCAAAATCTAACAAGAGAGGATGACATCTTTTTTTTCTGAGACAGAGACAGCATGAGCAGGGGAGGGTCAGAGAGAGGGAGACACTGAATCTGAAGCAGGCTCCAGGCTCCGAGCTGCCAGCACAGAGCCCGACGCGGGGCTCGAACCCACGAACCGTGAGATCATAACCTGAGCCGAAGTCGGATGCTTCACCGACTGAGCCCCCCCGGCGCCCCAGGAATAGCTTCTTACACAAGATCAGTCACATAAAAAGCAGAGCCACACCTGGTACATAGTCTGCTCGACAGTTCTCTCTCTTTCTTACTGTTTACATTAGTCTCGAATTCTAGTCTTGATTTAGACTCCTTTTGAATTTTGGTTTTGATAATGCTCCTGCTGAGAATGCCCAATTACATGGACGTGTGCCAAGTGGCATGTAACTACGTCAAGAATCGGTTTGCCAGTTCGGGATAGCCAGGCTCTTCCTTAGGCGCCAGGGACAGCAAGCAACCTATGAATGTCTGTTTTCAAGGCTGTCCCTCAGTAACTGTAGCATTGGCTCAGGCACTTGAGGGCAAGGTGAGTGTTGGGCGTCGGGGGCAAGAATACCCTTCACTTTGTGTTGAGTAGCATACTCAGTGCTCCTCAACCATGGTACGTAGCTATGTCCGCATACTGGATTCGATTCAGGCCCTGCTTGTAATGTGATGATGCCACTCAATGGTTCAGTACTTTTGAGCTGGCTTGTCAGCCCTGTGTGCTGTGTAATGGTACTGTTCTCTGGCCACTTTTCCTCTCTGAGCCGCTGAGAAACTTTCATCCCTGCAGGGTGTCATGTGACTATTGTCACCAATGCACACGTGGGCTCTAGTGTCGCATAACAGTGCTTTGTCATTGATCGGCCCCCTAAGGTCTCTATTAAGTAGGGTGATCATTGGAACACATAGTCAAAGTTCAAAAGTTCTTAGAAAACCATGGGCGCTTGAGACTATGTCCAAAGATGTCCTCCTCGAAACTCTGCCCCAAATCCCAATGGCATGAGCCTTGTTATTAAGGGTCGCAGATCCCAAATCTCCAGAGCTCCTCGGGGGAAGGAACTAGAAGGCTCGTAAATGGCTGTCTTCGCTCTGTCTTTACGTAGTCTTCTCTCTGTGTGTATGGGTCTAAATATCCTCCTCTTACTAGGATACCAGTCATATTGGATTAAGGTCCATCCTAATGATTCCATTTTAATTTAATCTCTTCTTTGAAGGACCTCCCTCCAAATGCAGTCACATTGCGAGACACCAGGGGCTAGAACTCCAACATATGAATTTTGGGAAGGACGCAAGTCAGCTCATGACGCTATGTTCCTTGTAGAAT